AAACCTACACCACGAAGCCTTTTCCTTCGATACACAAACTCAAAACTTTCTTTCTGCATTAATATACGAATAATCCTACAATACAATAGGATATCATCTTTAAGTAACTTTATTAATTCTTGGTAACATAAAAGATAATAATACTTAGTATACTTTTTACCTTATTTTTCTTTTAAATTTCCTCTCTTACCCTTCATTCACCATATCATCAATTCATACTCACCTTGATATCAAACTACAATTGATCACAAAATTTCATATTAATCATTCTTTACAATGAGCTGCAAATTTACTTACCTCAATGTATTTCACAGAACTTAAATTACACTGCTATCACTAGCCTTCCTTCAAAAAAATATGCATAAATCTTTCTTCCCAGAAGTCAAACCCTTCCCTTCAGCAACTGTGCTGAAATTCTCCCTATTTCCTTCAAGTTACCACTGCAGAAACCTGCTTTGGCCGAACCAAATTCCACTATGTTCCTTCCTGTATGCGGCCTCAACCTTCTCCAACGAATTACTAGGGGATTTCTTGCGGAAGTGCTTCCTCTCTGGCCCTTTTTCTCCCAACGAAACACTAGAACAATAGGAATTATCCACGGTTTACACTCACTACTGGATAGTGGGCCCCAGTCATCATCTAACCGCCCAATTCCCAAACCGTCACATTCCAAAAATTGCTTTTAAACGCTTCTCTTCAGATTTTGAGTTAATTTATTATATTATAATATTAGTTAAACTAGTATATAACATAAATCTTAATAATACCTATTTATTTAAACCATACCTGAAATTTTTGGTTCTTACATTGTCACCACCTAGCTCTTCCAGTACCTTAGTAGATGGTTTGAGCAGCTCCAAAGGATTTGCCAACCTTTCATTACCCAGCTCACTTTCCATAATAATTTCACCCTCTTCCACCATCACAATGTCTTCATTAACCTTCTCTACTCCCACATTCATAGCTATCTCCGTTTCATTGACTCCCAAACCGACAGATTTTTCTGTCTCCATAATAACAGGATTGCTTAAAGTTTTCTTAATTAACATCTTTTGCACCGACCTCCCATCAGAAACACCTTTAGGAACTCGCTTGTTTCTTTTGTAATTAACATGATCCCACGGCCCATAGGTTGTATTCTTGTCAATTTATTGTTCCAAATCATCATGTTTATCTTGAGCTTAACACCATCCACACAATTTTTCACCATCGTGCTCTCCTTCTTACAATTACTCTTAGCATGCTCAATCATTCCACATTCACAACAAAAAGTGGAAATCCTCTCAAATTCAACTTTTTGAAAAAATCTTTCCACCATCCCCTCCACCCAAACACCCAATGGAAGAGGTTGGTCTTCTTTCACACGAACACAAACTCTTGCAAACTCTCCTCCCCCATTGAAACATGTTGCCATCCAACATCAATGGTAAACCCACCATAGAAGCAATCCTTTCCACATTGTTCTCATCCCAACATTGCAAGGGCAATTGAGGCATTCTAATCAATATAGGTGAAGAAAGTCCTTTCATTGATGAAGGAAAAAACTCTGGAGACCACCTATCCATACCAATAATGTGACAATTCATGAACCATGGGCCTCCTGAAAGAACTAAATCCAATACTTCTGATGTTTTGAAAGAACACAAAAACCAACCCATCCCTAGGGTAGTAAAATGAAATTGACCAAATTGTGCCCCTTGGCGCCTTAACTCCCAAGCCACTATATGTGAAGGGATTTCTCTACTAAATACTTTGGCTACCAAAGAGTTTCCAAGTCTATTAGCATTCATAATTTCAGTAACTTCAACCAATTTTACTGGCTTCCCATTATCTGTTAAAACAACATCTCCTTCCTTAAAGTTTAACTTAATGTAAGGCTTCTTAGTCCATGGATTATCAAAACTGTTATTTCCCACATTATTCACTGGCATTTTATCATGCACAGACAATGCATTAAAGTCTTTAATCGAAGCAGATTCCACCAACAAATGCTTCTCGACATTTTGACAAATATTTTTGTTACCTGAACTCAGGGAATTCACATTTATCACACTATCACCAGGGATTGCATTTGAATTTTCGAATCTGTTAACAAAATATTCATACCACTCGAAGAAGCCTCAGGATCGAAAGATTTCAATGGAGAAAATCCAATCGATTTCAAAGCACGTGTCTTACATTCAAAATTCAGAGAAACATCCTTGCCCTTACCTTCAACATGCTTAATCTTATTAGAATCATAAGAAGCATTTTCATTTATTTCTAACGCACCTTTTGATCTCCTCCTATGTGCTTCCTCTGCATCACGATGCAAACCAGCCTTCAACCGACCAAGCTCGCTTCTGTTCTGAACAACGAATCCACCATTAGGATTGGCCTTCATAGTCGAAGCCACAGATGGCCGACGGCCGTCCGCCGCCATGTCCTAAAAACCTACAGAAAAGTGGATTGAAAATCAGGAATGTGGAATTTGAATGACCAAATGATGTACTTGAAAAGAATGGAAGTACAGCATCAATTATTAGGAAAAAAAAGCAATTCGTTTTGCCATGTTTTTTCTGTTGATATGTATGTCGTATTGGAAGCTAGGAAGTGATTTCAACTTTTAGCACTTGGAAAGAAAATGTCAACAATTATCCAGGAATTTGTTAAAGATTCCTGCAATACTTAGATATTTTAACAAGAGTACATGTTTTAGATATCTTGAGTTTATTGTTCAAAATGATGGTGAAATAGATGAGGATAATTGATTCAACCAGCCTAGTCCAGCCCAAGCCGAACAAGCCATTTGGTTAGGTGAAACAAGGGGCAGGAGGAGGGGGAAGTTCGGTCTCCCTTGTGGGGCCTGGGGGAGCTATTATTCATTATGTAAGAGGCGAATCAATGGGGAGTTGGGAAAGAGAGCTAATTTGAATTAGGAAAGGTTTTATTTAGGGAAAGTGGGCTGATTTGAATTCAAATTTGGGAGGGAAGTAGGTACGATTATATTAGAGTAATTGGGTTGCTTTATTTTCATTATATGATTTGTGTTTGATATAGTTTTCTCTTTTTTTTTTAAAAGTTTGCTATAGTTCTCTTTGGAGTTGTTCCTAGCAGCGGCTAGGGTTTGTGGGAGAGCCGATCTACCTCTCGAAATAGTAGATCAATTGTATCTTTTATTATTATTGGAGGAAAAATAAAAATCTGCCCCCATACTTCTGTTCATGCAATTTCTTCTTATCTAATTTGTTGTTTTTGCTTTTAAGTCACATTAAATTGGTATCGAGCTAGTTTTTGGAGAGATGGCAGCAAAGAGTTGGATGCTTTGGAAGGTGAAGTGGAGCAAATCAAATCCAAGATGCTGGAGAAGTTGTTCATCATCAAAGGAAGGTTTTCAACCATGAAAAATTGGATGGAAAGCCGATTTGGAGGATTATAGGAGATGATGAGGAAGCTCATGGAGATGCAATATAAAACTCTACCGGCGGTTCCGATTGCTAACCCTAACCAACATTTGATCGGGCTTCTCTTGGCTGAATTTAAGGGAAAGGAGATCAGACGTGAGAAATTCCAAGAAAAGAGTTTTTTTCATCAAGAGCCATCTCCTAAGGCTCCGATAAGGAGCGAATCAAGGTTTCTAGATGGGGAGACGGCACGGAGGGAATTTTTTGGTGGAGGTGGTTATGGGAGATATTTCAAGCAAAGGGGAGTGGACGACTAGAGATGGAGGGGGTCGAGCCGAGCCATGGAGATTGGGTCATGCAAGGAGGATGGAAGAAAGGCGGGATTCCCATTCTCGATACACATGGGGAATTGTTTAAGGGAGTGGAAGTTGGAGTGGAGATGCCATGGTGAGGAAGTTGATGATGCCGATATTTAAAGATGAGGATGCTCATTGTTGGGTGTATCCGGTGGAGAGGTATTTTATGGTGAATGGGTTGAATGAGGTGGAGAAGCTTACGGTTGCAGGGCTATGTCTACAGGGGTAATCCTTAGCTTTGTTCCAGTGGAGGGAAGCTAGATATCCAATCCATTCTTGGAAAGAGTTTAAGGATTGCTTATTGGAACGTTTCCAAGACATTTGGGAAGGAGACCTATATGATCATTTGCCTTGACTCAGGAAGGGACTGCCATGGAGTATAGGGAGAGATTTGAGTTCCTGTCAGGGCTGTTAAGGGGGATTTCAGAGGCAGTATTGGAGGAAAATTTCATGAAGGGCCTAAAGGATGACATACGTGCATGCCTTTGATTTTTAAGGCTGAGGGGTTTAAGGGAGATGATGGTGCTAGCCCAGATGGTAGAGGATCAAAGATAGATGGAGAGGACTGTTAGGAGTCGAGTCATGGGAGGCTCCCAAAGGAGTGCCTCGACTTCACTAGCACTGAGGATCCGGACGGTGTCATTTCAGCGGGAGGCACCAAGGGAGAAAAGTGGAGTTCACCCCGAGACCAGCTTCAACCGTCTCATAGAGGCAGTGGTGTAGGACAAGAGAGCGAAGGGTTTGTGCTTCCGATGTGATGAGAAGTAAGTACCAGGCCTTCAGTGCAAGGACTGCACACTCCAAGTCCTTACGATTTGTGATGAGGGTGAGACCGATAGCGAAGAGTTGGTGGAGGAAGTAGAAGCGGGATGAGAGCACCTTCACCTTGATGTGATAGAAGTGTTCCTTAACTTAGAACCTGCTGACCCCTATATATCATTTTGACAATTCGCAGATGGGAGTCACTGAATCACATAAATTACAGGAGGGGGATGGCACAACTTAGAACTGTTCATGAGAGAATGGCTCTGAAGTTTTTCAGTTGTATCATCCAGCAGAAGGCATCTGATGAAATTATTCATATCCTCTGTATCACAACCCATGTACTAGTACAGGCACGAATGTATGATCCCGCCAAATATATTTAAGAAGTTGAATATATCATGTTCTTCCCTTTTTCAGTTTTGTAATGGCTAGTTATCGCCACTGCAACTCAAACCCATTTGTCTTTGACCTTCTTATAAATGTTTATATTCAACAGGGCATGCTTAATAATGTTATAAAGGGGTTCCATGTTGATGGGTTGTCAAGGTTTTGCAGCTTCAGCTTATTCCTGCAATGATATAATTTCTGCTATTGCAAGAAGAAAGCAAGCAGCAGATGTGTGGTCATTCTTTAAGGAGATCCTTGCTAATGGGATATGCTTTAATGTGCGCACTTTCAATACCGTGCTTAGTATTTTATGCTCTGAAGGAAAGTTTACAAAACCTTGTCATTTGTTGAAGAGGATGGAACATGTTGGCTATATACCAACTACTGTTTCTTATAACACACTTCTCAATTGATATTTTAAGAAGGGTTGGTACTAAGCTGCTATTAAGCTAACAAATTTCATGGGGACAAAAGACGTTGAGGCAGATGTTTACACTTGTAATGTACTCATCGATACTTTATGCAAAAGAAGCAAGAGTGCCAGAGCTTATTTGCTATTAAAATGGAGGAAGGAGATGGAAATATATCCTACTGAATGTACCTATACTACTCTTATCAATGGGTTCTGCAAAGAAGAGAAGCTACATGTTGCTACCAACGTTATGAATGACATGATCCATGCAAAGTTTTTTCGCCAAACTATATTACTAACAATACATTAACTAATTGATATGTTAGAAATAGCATGATTGATGAAGTTTTAAAGTTTTTTTTTTTTTGTTTGTGAAATGGAAGCTAAGGGAATGAAAACCAATGAAATCACTTATGGTACTTTACTTAATGGATACTGCGAGGTTTCAAAACTGGATGCTTCAATGAATCTTCTCAATAAGATTAGATCCAAAGGCCTCATTCCCAACAACTTTGTCAGATGGATTTTGTAGACAAGGGCAGCTCTTTAAAGCTCAACATATTCTTTTTTAATTTGGCTAAAGATATGGTCAATCCTGATGGTGTGACTTACTCGGCTTTTGTTAATTGTTTATGTAAAGTTGAGGGTGGAGAAGGCATTGTTTCCAAACCATGTTACATACACTTGTTAATTCAGGGTCTGGTTAAGGAAGGCCAATTGAAGGCTTTTTCTTTCATTTTTGGAGAACTCATATGAAAAAGCGGTACCCTGTACTCTGATGCTATCATCTTTATTGTTGTGCTGGAGGGGTATTCAAGAAAAAAAATTAAAAAAGGTGGAGGTGGTATTCTCACATATGGAAAATAAAGGTTTTACTCCAACTTTAGCATCTTACAATATGCTTTTACATGGTTATATCAGAAGACACTTGATATCAAAATCATTTAGACCGTATAAAACAATGCTATAGAAAGAGATCCAATGTCATTTTCTTTTACCCCTATACATCAAATTACGTGCAAATGGTTTTAAACATGTGAAATAAGCAACGCGCGCGTTGACACAACACGTCGCTTGAAGGGCCAAACAAAATTTGATTGCCAAACAGATTGCGCTGTTGCAATCAGGACGTCAAATTCGACTAAGTCGAGACCCCTCGCTGTCAAATCAGACAAGATCAGTCCAAAGGGATGACCAACACCTGAAATTGACGCGCGAAATCACCTAAACTATGTCTGATCACAGAACGGATTTCTCCATCGCGTATGGAACGTTATCCACATTCAAAAATTACATCGTATTTAATCAATTGGGATCGACCAAGGCGGTGGCATGAATCCTGAGGTGTCGACACGCAAATCGAGGAATTTAGCACCCGACATCGCCCAAATAATGTATGATCCTAAAACGGACTTCACCGTTGCGTTTGGGACATCGTAAATACTTAAAATTGAGTACCTATTTGTTCAATTAAAGTCGGGTCATCAAATCAATGCGGTCCCCTTTGTGATGACACAAATCGAGGAGTTTGGCGCACGACGTTGCTCAAACGACATTCGATAGCAAAACGGACTTCGCCGATACGTTCAGGGCGTCGTCAATACCCAAAATGCACTATCAATTTTGCCCAAAGAAAATCATTACCCAAATTGATAGTACTATTGATTGACACGCAAATTGTGGAATATAGCGCAGACATTAACCAAACGAGGTCTAATCGTGAAATTGATGTAGACACACAAGAAGAAAACTGACACAATGGGTAGAACTTAAACCAAACTTTATTAAAATAAAAACAGGCAACTAAAGCTTCAAAAACCAACAAGGAACACTAAGAGATTTTAAGGAAATAAAGAAAATTAAAAGACGCTATCCTCAGACAACCGTCAGAGCGGGTTCCTCACATGCATCGAATTGTAGGTTAAATAAGAAAAGTGCATAGATCTAGCAAATCGATGATCCACCACTGCAAGATTATCCAATCTCCTTAACAGATGCTTCAAATCAACCAAGATACGACACCTTAAAGTTGCTTTACTTTGAGAAGAAGGATACATGTGGAGTGGCACTTGCGGAGAGACGAAAGAGGTTAGAAGCCAAGAAGAAGGGTGGAAAGAGCCCGCAGGATTTCCGGAGGGGATGAGAATGAAGGATGGAACAAGCTCGCAAGCTTTTCCAACAACCCGCAGGTCAATAGCAAATATGCTCAAATAATCAACTCCCTTCTTTCATAACATCTTCTCATATTTATAGGCAAGATAGGGGAATGCCAAAGTCATATATTAATTTTCCACAAGAACCCAAGCACCAGGTTCATGAAATTCATTTGCTTTTCTCGGAAAAACAGCCCAAGCCAAGCAACCGAAGGGGCATTCACGGGAGCCAAGCAGGCCACATGGAACCAAGGGGTCACGGTCTCGGGAAAGAGCCCAGGCACGAAAAAAAACAACAGCCGGCCGAATTTCAAGAGGTAAAGGCTCAGAAAACAGCAACTCCCCATGAATGCCATTCATAGAAATCAGCCATAATTTAAAACACAAGCCATGATTTCCCAAGAGACAAGAAGAAAGGGGATGGAGAAGGGACAAGTCCACTCCAACATTAAATCCTTCATAATGAGCCACCTTTTTGGATATTAATGAGCTACTAAACTTCAGCTCAAGCAATTAAGAGAATGAGCTCCATCCAATCCTCCTCCAACCGACCTTCGAACCAGCAGTAGCAAATGGACCAATCAAGCCAGCAAACCAAAGGTCTACTAAGCTCTATGCACAACCTACCATGATCATTGGATGCTTTCCTATCATTGAATAGCTAAAAAAAGAAAAGAAAACAAAATATAATATTGTTCAAATAAAATAAAAAGTACAGAAATTCTTGATAGCATCAATTCTTCCCTGGTGGAAAATTCTCATGTCCTGATGAGAACGTATCAGCAACTCATTCATAAAGTTCCAAATTTTTCTTTTTTAGATCAGCAGCAACAATCCAGGTACAATCAGTCATTGTTCGAGTGCTCCATTTGACCAAGAACTTCTTATGTTCTCCATGCCTTGTTTTAATAGCTTTTATATCAACAATATCTTCGATTTGATCTTCAGACTTTACCAAAGGAGCAGAGAGTGGTAAAGTTTCAATGTCTACAAAATCTTCAGAATCTCCTTCATACAAAGACAGGTCAGAAACATTAAAAACAGGAGAAGTGCCAACAGTATTTGGTAAATCCAGCAAATAGGCATTAGTGCCTAATTTTCGAATCACACGAAAAGGGCCAAATTTCTTTCTACTTAACTTTTTAAAAGTGCCAACAGGAAACCTTTGGTGACAAAAGTATGTCATAACTAAGTCACCCACATTGAAGTTTACTTCTTTACGATGTTTATCAGCAGTCATGGTTTAAAATTGCGCAATATGAGGCTCGCCTTGAGGCCCGCCTTTGCGCAATTCCAGTAAAAAACGCCTCGATGCTTACGCCTCGAGTTTTTTTTTATGAGGCTTGCGCCTCAACTTGGTTGAGGCCCGCCTCGCCTCACTAGCATGAGGCTTATGCCTCACGCTATATATATTAAAACTTACATAAATCTTCAAGTAAATGCCCGACATTGGACTCTATAGGAAAGGAGGAAGGGGAGAGCAGTTCACCATAATGATGATTCAAATGAAGAACCCCTTAGTGATGACAGTGCTGATGACTTATGAGTTGTTATGTGATATGCCATTGATGTTTATTTTTGGAAATTGGAATTGTATGTTAATGAAAAGAATACTGGGATTTCCGAAAGATAGAATTTTGAGTGGAACTATATTTCATGTTGTCTTATTATTGAGATATTTTGATTTCACTTCATATCTTATGCTTTTTTATGTTTTATATTATTCACTTATTAGTATATAACAAATTTATTATTTTATGTTTACGCAATCTTTTGATTTTGAGGCTTACGCCTCAAAACACCTTGAGGCTTATGCCTCGCCTCACGAATGAAAAACGCCTCAATACCCGAATACGCAATTTTAAACATTGTCAGCAGTGGACTTATATTTAGCAGTAACCTTTTTGAGCTTTTCAAAAACCTATTGTTGGATAGTTTTTATATGATCAACTGTCTCAAAAGCTTAAGCACTAGTTTTTTTAGGTAAGGATAAGGAGTTTCTATCCAAAATATGAGGAATAGGCTTCCCATAAATAATCTCAAATGGACTTTTTCCAGTAGAACGATTAACAAAATTATTGTAAGCAAACTCAGCCTGAGGCAACACTAAATCCCATTGAGACGGTTTTTCTCCAGCAAGACATCTTAATAGATTTCCCAAGCTTCTATTGACTACTTTAGTTTGCCCATCAGTTTGAGGATGATAGGCACTACTATATTGAAGAGTAGTTCCTAGTTTTGCCCACAGAGTTCTCCAAAAATGACTTAAAAATCTAGTATCACGATCTGAAGTAAAAGTATGAGGAATACCATGCAGACGTACAATTTCTTTAAAAAATAAATCAGCGATGTAAGAAGCATCAGAAGTACTCTTACATGGAATAAAATGTGCTATTTTACTAAATCGATCTACACCCACAAAAATAGAATCAAATTTTCAAAGAGTAACCGGCAAGCCTAAAACGAAATCCATAGAAATATCCTCCCAAGGTTTGTTTGGAATAGGGAGAGTATACTAACCAGAATTTTGTGTAGTTCCTTTAAAAGCTTGACATACCGTACATTATTTTACCTGTTTTCTTTCACAAGTTGTTCTCTTAAAGAACCTTTTGTTATGCAAAGTCTTGTTCCTTTGAATAAAAAACCATGATGTATCACAAATTGAGCAGAATGATCAGTTCCATAAGCAAAACAAGCATCCCAGATATTTTTGAAATCAGAATCATTCGCATAAGTATCTTTCAAAAATTCAAAAGAAGTAACAGTCGGAAAAATGGTTATTAACAAGTGAGACCTTCGACTTAAAGCATCAGCAACTTTATTCAAAGCTCCAGTCTTATGTTTTATGAGAAAAGAGTATTCTTGTAAAAAAGAAACCCATTTGGCGTGTCTTTTGTTAAGATTTTTTGTGACCCCAAAAATCGTAAAGCTTCATGATCAGTGTTTAAAATAAATTCCCGATGAATCAAGTAACATCTCCAGAATTTCAAAGCTTGAACAATAGCATAAAATTCTAAGTCATAAATAGAATATCGAGATCGAACATCATTTAATTTTTCACTAAAATATGCAATAGGCTTCTCTTCCTGACTTAAAACAGCACCAATACCAATGTGTGAAGCATCACAATCGACTTCAAATACTTTATCAAAATTTGGCAGGCTAAGAATTGGAGTTTGACTCATTTTTAGTTTGATCAGTTGAAAAGTATTTTCAGCTTCAGGGGTCCATTTAAAAGTTCCTTTCTTTAAGCAATCAGTGATAGGAGCAATAACAGTATTGAAGTTTTTAACAAATCGACGATAAAAAGATGCTAACCCATGAAATTCTCTTACCTCACTAATGTTTTTAGGAACAGGCCAGCTTCTTATTGCCTCGATTTTCACAGGATTTACCTTGATTTCTTTAGCAGACACAATATAGCCCAAAAATGTTAAACTCGAAGTCATAAAAGAACATTTCTTCAAATTGATGTACAGCTTCTGCTCTCTCAAAGTCTCCAGAATCTCTTTGACATGTAAGAGATGATCAGATTGGTGAATGTTGTAAATCAGAATATCATCAAAATATACAAATTTGCCAATAAAAGGTCGCAATATATGATTCATAGTTCGCATGAAAGTACTCTGAGCATTAGACAACCCAAAAGGAATAACAAGCCATTCATATAAGCCTTCTTTGGTTTTAAAAACAGTTTTTCATTCATCTCCAAGTCTAATCCTTATCTGATGATACCCA